CTCAAGCCAGTGTATTCAAAGAATGACGCGTTTTAGGCAGATACCGACTCAAGAGTCATGAGCGGCCCGAGGTCGATAGGCTCATTAGGAGAATCTACATCGGGAGGCTATTGCAGCAACAGCGACTGTGACAACAACAGTATTCACCCTTTGAATGGAGGCGGTGGTAAAGCACAAATGTATACGAGGCAATCAAACTGGTATGGATCAATTACTAAGCGCGGACATGTCTTGTAACGGGGCACCCTGAAGCTTGTACTGGTGACAGTACAAGCTACTTACTCTGATGACAGAATAAGGCTGTGCCTCGTAACTTCACGTGCACGTGCAGAGAAAGACGGTAAGAAGAAGCGAGTACTTGGTTAAAGTAAAAAGTAGAACTGTATTTAGTATAGTTAATGTCTATTAAAAAACACGATTTATCTTCATCTAACTATGTCTGAATACAAATGTGCATATCAACTATCTGCTCACCACTCATTGCGTGCGTCTGTCGTGGCGCGTCTTCGTTGGTTGATATAATGGCCTATGTCAAGAAATTAGGAACTACTCGTAGGTGCTACAGAATATTTGTCCTTATGACAACATTCTGAGAATATAACTCTTATAATTATGTTCTGTTACCAATTTCTTATAAATTGTTATGTTACGATTCACCCCGTTAAATCACCCCCCCCTTAACCATCAGTCACTTTAGTGACTGTTTGCCTACATGGATACTCGTCCCAAATCATTTGGGACAGGGTTTGCACTTGTTGGTCCGAGTCCACTTTCCAACATCTCATCGCATGGTTAACAAGTCCATGCGGTGTGCGAAAAACGCCGCTGAGAGCGATTCTGCACGTCTCTGTGCAGACGCCGAAGCAGAAACCACAGCAACTGGTGTCTCATCGGTTGCTGATGCAACTCAGCCTGTGTCACCTGGTGATGCAGGCGCTGGTCATGAAGACACTCATGTCTTCACAGAGTATGAGCTCGGAGTCTCATACTCTCCTGATACGGAAGACGGATCTGTATCGAAGGCGGTTGAAACCAAGCCGCCTGCCAAGCGCGGAACAATTGATACACGCGTCGTAGCATCTTTGATACGTCTGATGAATCAGATGAACCATCGCCAAAGCGTAGGCGCTCGAGGTCGCGAGACTCGGGCGCTAACAGTGGTGTCGGCCCTCCTGTTGACACCACTTCGCAACGAGGTGCCAGTCCTTCTGTCGGCACGTCGCAGGTAGTGCGGGACCGCAGTGTGTTGCGTCTCGCTCCCGAGAAGAAATCATGGATGCCTCCAAGATCTGTCATGGATCACTTGTCGGCAACACGGTTGTTCGATTCGTCAAGGATCCATCACCTTGACCCCAGTGCGAAAAACTATCTTACTGAGAATGATTTCTGCATCGATGCTTTCTTTAAACATCGATGGTACAGTGGGAATCACAAACGTGATGGTCCCTCACTGCTTCAATCGTGGAACGCCTACATCCATAACCTTGAGGATGTAGGTCGTGACGTTTGGAACGACAAACTTATCAAAGCTCGTGATAAGTTTGAAAAGCGAACTCCGACAGGTGCACGGTACAAGCTGCATCGTCTGTCAAGGGAGAAAGGATTACCCTGTCTCTCATGGGGAGCCCCGTGCCCTTGTTGTGTAAACAACTCAGCGCGCGCACCTAAGGAGGTTTACCTCCCTAATAGCCCGTGGTGGCGCGTACGTATCTCTAGTGAGATGTACGAAGGGATTGACAACCTTAAAACCCTTTACGACCGTGCCGGGAAGACTTTCTCTGGCGGTCCTTCTGCGGCACAGGATGTGCCGCGTCGTACTGATCAGCCAGACCCAGTACGTCAATCATCAGTTGGGAGGGGGGCTCCCAAGTATCCCAGGACGGGGGACAACCGCGCCACCGGACGAGGTAACTCGTCCGACGTCCGTTCACGTCGCGGTGGTTCAACAGCCGCTCAATCAGATAGCGCTGGCCACCGCGAGAGCCCTCCGATGCAGGTGGAGGAGGAGGGAAAACACTCTCCGAACTATCGTGGGGGAGCGTGTGTTCCCGAGAGCTTCTTTAATCGCGTAACGCAAGGGTTACGCGGCGATCTCGAACATGAGCGGGACAGGCGTCCCCAACTGGCGGACACTGTCTGGAAGCATCGAGCTGAGTTTGCTTTTGCTCAGCTTGAGAACGAGAGAGCTTTGACTGCTCTGCGTGACGAGCTAAGGGTAGCTCGTGGGAATGTTGAGCGGTCTCGGGCTGAGATAACTGCTCTTCAGACCCTTGTCGATGCTCACCATCGGGAGCACAAGGCTCTCTGCGAGATTCTTGAGCGCAAGGGCGTTCTTCATCGGAAGAAGCAGCGTACTGATGGTACGGATTAAGCCGACCAAACGTAAAACGTGGGATGCGTTCATATATTACGTGGCAACTCGATCGTGTAAGCATTGCCTAGGCGGTGCAATACACGAAATGGACCGATATACTTGGGTAGAAGATTACTACTACCCAAGCTAGTCACTACATGCTTTGGTAGGTTACCGTAGACAGTAGGACTAAGTCACCTTCATTAAATAAAAGAGTGTTTGCCCTTCCATTCTTGTCAGCGTTTTGCTTTTGCTTATCCACCGATTCGGCGATGGAGTCTTGCACAAAACGGACTACCGTTTCACGAGCCAGTATGAACTCATCTGATGACTCGTTAGCTTCAGTGTGCTGTGAGTCCACTGCAGCGACATCAATCTTTTCTTCAGTGAGGGCTTCCGCACTCTCACTGGCATCATCTTCTTCGATATCGATGTTATCGATATCGGCATCAAACGCAATGACCTCTTCGTCAGAGCGTGATGAGCGTGAACCAATTCGGTTTTTGCTCGCGCGAGTCCCTCCCCCCCCTTAAACCAGAGTTACACTCTAGTAAGGTGGGTACACGCGGATGGCGTAAGTCTTTCACGTAAAACGGTGTATGTGTCGTGGACGCATGCACCGAGTTGTTAATGGCAAACCCTACCATTGGCAAGAACTCACTCCAACTCTTAAAGGAGTGTACGTATCCTCGAAGTATCTCTTCAAGGACACGATTGGCACGTTCCGTCTGACCATCTGACTCTGGATGATCAGATGTTGACATCTTCAAGCGCGTTCCGAGTGATTTGAACACGGAACGCCAGAAATCAGCAGTGAATCGTGGATCTCTGTTTGATACGAGTTCACGGAGCAACCCATGAAGTCGGAAGATGGTGTCGATAAAGACACAAGCACAGCCACTTGCTGTTACTGACTCTGGTACAGCCACTAGGTGTACCATTTTGCTGAATCTGTCAACGACTACGAGAATACCCGTATTCCCGCGTGCGTCTTTGGGTAACCCGAAGACAAAATCCATTGAGATGGATTCCCAGCACTCAGCCGGAGCCGGTAGATGCTGTAAAGGTGCATGCAGTGAATGACTTGACTTCACTCGTTGACAGACTTCGCATGCGCGAACATACTTTCGCACAAATTGATACTGGCGGGGCCAGTAAAAGTCTCGACTCACCGTGAGATTTGTTTTCTCACGGCCACGATGTCCTCCAATAGGAGCATCGTGATACTCGAACGTGATCCGCAAACGCAGATCAGTATCATCTGGGATGACACCACGTGGTGTGTCACCAGAAACGGCTGTATCATACAGTAAATCGTTGCGAGTACTGTATCGATCTGATGCAGATCGATACGCAGACGACAATCATTTCAACGATTCTCGAGATGGTTGGGAGAGATGTGTCAACAACTTCACAATCTCACCATCTTGGGCATACGCCCGCCTCTCATCATCATGCAACGTTGAAGATGGGACTGAGGACGTCATAACCGCAACAGTGACTGTCTCACTGTTGGGTTTCACGACTGGTTCATAGTCGGGATGACGTGAGAGTGCATCAGCGACGACATTAAGTCGTCCTGGTTGGTACTCGACCGTAAAGTTGTATTCTGCAAATAATGACAACCACCGAGCCATTCGTTGTGGAAGGTGCGGGCTGTTTACTGCCGTGCGTAATGATGCATGGTCAGTGTAAACAATGAAGGGTCTATCTCCTAATAGATAGACTCTGAACTTCGCGAGTGCATACTTCATGGCAAGGAGTTCCTTGTCATGCACTGGATAGTTCCGCTCAGCTGGTTGCAGCTGACGCGACTGATAGCAGACGACGCGTTCAACGCCTTCAAGATCGTACTGCATTAATGCACAGCCGATTGCGAAATCACTGGCATCACAGACCACATGAAATGGCCTGTCCTGATCGGCAATTGCTAGGACTGGGGATTGTATCAAGCTCTGCTTGATACCATCAAAGGAGCGCTGACATTCAGCGTTCCATAACCACCTCTCGTTCTTTTTCAACAAACGAGAGAGGTGCACAGTCATCTCGGCGTAATTGCGTGAATACTTATGCAAATACGCCGCTAGCCCAAGGCATTTTCGAAGACCTTTGACATCAACCGGCACAGGCCAGTCAGTGATCGCCTTGATCTTTTCGGGATCAGGACGTACACCGTTTTTTCCAACAATGCACCCAAGAAGTGGTATCTCGCTTGCTGCAAATATACACTTCTTGAGGTATGCATACAATTGATGCTTTCGCATGATTGTAAGAACCTGTCGGACGTGGTACCTGTGAACCTCAACGTCAGACTTTCCATCCATAGCCCGACTATGGATGAATACGTCATCGAAATAACTCGGCACGAATTCTCGTACTGGTCTCAGCAGATGTGATACGCATCTGTTTAACGTGGCAGGGGTATCACTAAGCCCTTGTGGCATTACTAGCAATTCCCAGAGCATGCCGCTAGGCGTGCTCACTGCGGTATATGGTATGTCCCGTTCTCGCATGAGGATATGATAGAAGCCATCCATCATTGACGAAAAGATGGTACTCTTTGACATACCATCAATGATTACGTCCTTCCTTAGTATCGGCGTCTGAGCCTGTACCGTTGCAGCAGTCAACTTGTTAAATGCATGCACTATCCGCCACCCTCCTGTGGCTTTTCGCACACAGAAGGTCGAAGGGCTGTGTGGGATGTTGATTCCCTCACATGGCCCGCAGCTAAACGATCGGCATAGAACTTGTCGATCGCAAGCACTTGTTCACGAGGCAGTGACCACTGCTTCATGACACAGTACTTCGAGCCTGGTTTAAGCTCGACCTCGTGTCGAATACCTTTATCCTTCGGTAATTCGCACGGAACAGTTTCAGGGAATACATCCTTGAATTCAACCAAATCTTCATGGAGAGGTTTTGTCTTGAGCGATTGCCACGATTGGGAGTCATGTCGCTCAACTCGTGTCTTTTCATCTAGGACACTCTCGTCCATTGATGAACTACTGAGAACTCTCTCGTTCTCAGTAAACATTGTTGCTGACCTTATGCCGGCTACACACTCGTCGTCAGCGACGAGTACGCAGATCTGCTTGACTTTGCCACTACGCAAGAACCTTTTTTTATGTTCGAGCGTTGGTAATTGAGTGATCTCCGAAGTCAACTTCGGAGGCGCAATCAGATCAAGTGTATCAGCGCCTACGCTTGATCCGTTATTGACCATGACATTCAAAGTCTCTGTCATTTCCTGGGGACTTATTCCCTCAGGCCTCGAAGGACTTATTCCTTCGGCTTCCCGGGGACTTATTCCCTCTGGTTTCGGGGAACTTTTTTCCGCCGTATTTATAATATCAGGACTTATTCCCTTAACTTCCTCTAGCTGTGGTTGCACAACCACAGCGAGATCCTCTCTACGAAAGACTCTCCAGTCGATCCAGGATTATCGTTTCGCTTAACCTGAGCGATCGATGGTTTCACTTCTAGATGTTCCCCGCTAGGGATACATCTTTGTCCTGGTCCACTCGACTTATTCCAGTGTTGGACCTTCGGCGCAGCCTGTGTTTCCTCACAGCCGCCGGAACTTTGCTCCGAAGTGTAACCGTTTGTTACACTAAGGTTTTGTGCAGTCGTACTAACGACCGTACCACAAGTGAGGCCTTCGTACTCACTCGTAGTACAACCACACGCTTTGTGGACGCTCCAAAACGTTCATCAGATGACCATCTGATGAACAAGCGGCAGGCATCGTTGCTGTTCGATGTTGCCAGTTTACCCGTGGTTCGTACCTTCTGAGCCACGGTATTCCAAGGATGACATCAAATTTTTCATCCAAATCCAATACGATAAAGTCATCGTCATATTGGGTATCTTCTAGCGTATAGTGGATCTTCACTATACGCTTCATGACGGTTACGGATGCGCCTGTCGCAAGACGTACCGTCATCCTCGTAGGAGGTGTGTCACATTCGCTGGACTTAAAGCGACCATCTTCTAGGGATTGGCGTTGCACAAAATTGTTGGACGCCCCATAATCGACTAGAGCTCGAAGGGACCACTTATTTGTCACTTCGAGTTTCAAGGTAATGAGTGAGATCTCATTACCTAGAGCAGCAACGCACAACGTTTGTGTGTTGGGAGCAACCTTCATCAAGAGGCCTACAAATTCTCTTGACGTTGCTGGACCAGTAGGGTGCTCCGCACCTACTGATCCTGTCCGTTTTTTGACGGTCCATCCCGTTGTTGCGTCTTTGCACCAACAGCGGACCCTCGTTCCTGCCTCTTTCTCATGGGTGGACGGTCACTACGCCCAGTGTTGCGAGACACTGGACGAGGAGCACTACACTCGTAAGCGTAGTGTCCTGTCTTCTGACATCTGTTGCATTTCTGCAACTTCTTGTAGTCTGTAGAGCGAGCCTTCTCGCTCTCTACATAACAGAGTTTCATCGGCTCTGGACCTCCGTTGTCATATCGTCTCGGTTGACGATACGATGTCGAGCTGGCGCGAGCCTGTCTCAGACTGAAGTCTTCCTGTTCCGCAATGAAAATGGCTTGTTCTAGTGAATCTAGTTCAAGTCGGAACAGGTGAGTCTTGACGGGACCATCCGCAAGACCCTGCATGAACACCGAAACCAATGTGTGTTCATCCACCGGATTGGAACTTATACAACTCGTGAGATGTCGTATATGTTGCGCGTAAGCGTGCACATCACGCTTACCCTGTTAGAGCTCCAAGAGTTCGGTTTGAGCCATGAACTCAGCTCTAGGCGGTTCAAACGTTTGTCTGAGCCGCGACTTGAAGACTTCTAACGACACAAACGCATATGGGTCGTGCAACTTGAGCCCCAAAGCCCAAGTCTTGGCACGTCCTGCCAGATTTGATTGGGCAAATTCAACTTGTGTATCCCCATCGTCGATGCGACGTGCCCTTATGGAGACGTCTAATTCGACAAACCATCTCAAGAGGGAGTCCTCTTCGACTCTCCTATACTTGGAGATGTCAATCTTCAAGGTCTTGGGTCGACGCGAGTGCATCGACCCACCAGCAGCAGCCTGCTGCTGTCTCAACCGTTCAAACTGTTGAGCACCCTTTTCTCTCAACAACTCTGCTTGTTGAGAACCTTGTTGGTGAAGCAAGGCTACTTTCTCGCGTTCAGCGTCAAGTTCATTTTGAATGAACTTGGCGATAGTAGCATGTTGGGCATCTCTATTGAGAGCCTCTAGCATAACGCTAACAGCATGGATACCTATGGTTGAACCCATCCGTTCAGCCGCATCCCATTGTATATCGCTCAAATGGAAGTAGCCGTCACGCGTAGCGTAAAAGCTTTGGTCATCTTCATCATCTAACATATTCATGTTAGATGTGAACGCGGTCCTTGGACGGACTACGAAGTGCTACCAGGTGTAAAGGGGCACCCTCAAGCTTGTACTGATGACAGTACAAGCTACTTATTCTGATGACAGAATAAGGCGGTGCCTCGGAACTTCACGTGCACGTGCAGAGAAAGACGGTAAGAAGAAGCGAGTACTTGGTTAAAGTAAAAAGTAGAACTGTATTTAGTATAGTTAATGTCTGCAATAAATCACTATTTATCTTCATCTAACTATGTCTGAGTACAAATGTGCATATCAACTATCTGCTCACCACTCATTGCGTGCGTCTGTCGTGGCGCGTCTTCGTTGGTTGATATAATGGCCAATATCAACCAATTAAGAACTACTCGTAAGTGCTACAGAATATTTGTCCTTATGACAACAATCTGAGAATTTAACTCGTATAGTTATATTCTATTAACAATTTCGTATAAATTGTTATGTTACGATTCACCCTGTTAAATCACCCCCCCCTTAACCATCAGTCACTTTAGTGACTGTTTGCCTACATGGATACTCGTCCCAAATCATTTGGGACAGGGTTTGCACTTGTTGGTCCGAGTCCACTTTCCAACATCTCATTGCATGGTTAACAAGTCCATGCGGTGTGCGAAAAACGCCGCTGAGAGCGATTCTGCACGTCTCTGTGCAGACGCCGAAGCAGAAACCACAGCAACTGGTGTCTCATCGGTTGCTGATGCAACTCAGCCTGTGTCACCTGGTGATGCAGGCGCTGGTCATGAAGACACTCATGTCTTCACAGAGTATGAGCTCGGAGTCTCATACTCTCCTGATACGGAAGACGGATCCGTATCGAAGGCGGTTGAAACCAAGCCGCCTGACAAGCGCGGCAAAATTGATACACGCGTCGAAGCATCTTTGATTCGTCTGACGAATCAGATGAACCATCGCCAAAGCGTAGGCGCTCGAGATTGCAAGACTCGGGCGCTAACAGTGGTGTCGGTTCTCCTATTGACACCACTTCGCAGCGAGGTGCCAGTCCTTCTGTCGGCATGTCGCAAGAAGAGAGGGACCGCAGTGTGTTGCGTCTCGCTCCCGAGAAGAAGGCATGGATGCCTCCAAAATCTGTCATGGATCACTTGTCGGCAACACGGTTGTTCGATTCGTCAAGGATCCATCACCTTGACCCCAGTGCGAAAAACTATCGTACTGAGAATGATTTCTGTATCGATGCTTTCTTTAAACATCGATGGTACAGTGGGAATCACAAACGTGATGGTCCCTCACTGCTTCAATCGTGGAACGCCTACATCCATAACCTTGAGGATGTAGGTCGTGACGTTTGGAACGACAAACTTATCAAAGCTCGTGATAAGTTTGAAAAGCGAACTCCGACAGGTGCACGGTACAAGCTGCATCGTCTGTCAAGGGAGAAAGGATTACCCTGTCTCTCATGGGGAGCCCCGTGCCCTTGTTGTGTAAACAACTCAGCGCGCGCACCTAAGGAGGTTTACCTCCCTAATAGCCCGTGGTGGCGCGTACGTATCTCTAGTGAGATGTACGAAGGGATTGACAACCTTAAAACCCTTTACGACCGTGCCGGGAAGACTTTCTCTGGCGGTCCTTCTGCGGCACAGGATGTGCCGCGTCGTACTGATCAGCCAGACCCAGTACGTCAATCATCAGTTGGGAGGGGGGCTCCCAAGTATCCCAGGACGGGGGACAACCGCGCCACCGGACGAGGTAACTCGTCCGACGTCCGTTCACGTCGCGGTGGTTCAACAGCCGCTCAATCAGATAGCGCTGGCCACCGCGAGAGCCCTCCGATGCAGGTGGAGGAGGAGGGAAAACGCTCTCCAAACTATCGTGGGGGAGCGTGTGTTCCCGAGAGCTTCTTTAATCGCGTAACGCAAGGGTTACGCGGCGATCTCGAACATGAGCGGGACAGGCGTCCCCAACTGGCGGACACTGTCTGGAAGCATCGAGCTGAGTTTGCTTTTGCTCAGCTTGAGAACGAGAGAGCTTTGACTGCTCTGCGTGACGAGCTAAGGGTAGCTCGTGGGATTGTTGAGCGGTCTCGGGCTGAGATAACTGCTCCCCAGACCCTTGTCGATGCCCACCATCGGGAGCACAAGGCTCTCTGCGAGATGCTTGAGCGCAAGGGCGTTCTTCATCGGAAGAAGCAGCGTACTGATGGTACGGATTAAGCCGACCAAACGTAAAACGTGGGATGCGTTCATATATTACGTGGCAACTCGATCGTGTAAGCATTGCCTAGGCGGTGCAATACACGAAATGGACCGATATACTTGGGTAGAAGATTACTACTACCCAAGCTAGTCACTACATGCTTTGGTAGGTTACCGTAGACAGTAGGACTAAGTCACCTTCATTAAATAAAAGAGTGTTTGCCCTTCCATTCTTGTCAGCGTTTTGCTTTTGCTTATCCACCGATTCGGCGATGGAGTCTTGCACAAAACGGACTACCGTTTCACGAGCCAGTATGAACTCATCTGATGACTCGTTAGCTTCAGTGTGCTGTGCGTCCACTGCAGCGACATCAATCTTTTCTTCAGTGAGGGCTTCCGCACTCTCACTGGCATCATCTTCTTCGATATCGATGTTATCGATATCGGCATCAAACGCAATGACCTCTTCGTCAGAGCGTGATGAGCGTGAACCAATTCGGTTTTTGCTCGCGCGAGTCCCTCCCCCCCCTTAAACCAGAGTTACACTCTAGTAAGGTGGGTACACGCGGATGGCGTAAGTCTTTCACGTAAAACGGTGTATGTGTCGTGGACGCATGCACCGAGTTGTTAATGGCAAACCCTACCATTGGCAAGAACTCACTCCAACTCTTAAAGGAGTGTACGTATCCTCGAAGGATCTCTTCAAGGACACGATTGGCACGTTCCGTCTGACCATCTGACTCTATATGATCAGATGTCGACATCTTCAAGCGCGTTCCGAGTGATTTGAACACGGAACGCCAGAAATCAGCAGTGAATCGTGGATCTCTGTCTGATACGAGTTCACGGGGCAACCCATGAAGTCGGAAGATGGTGTCAATAAAGACACAAGCACAGCCACTTGCCGTTGTTGTATCGGGTACAGCCACAAGCTGTACCATTTTGCTGAAACTGTCAACGACTACGAGAATACCCGTATTCCCGCGTGCGTCTTTGGGTAACCCGAAGACAAAATCCATTGAGATGGATTCCCAGCACTCAGCCGGAGCCGGTAGATGCTGTAAAGGTGCATGCAGTGAATGACTTGACTTCACTCGTTGACAGACTTCGCATGCGCGAACATACTTTCGCACAAATTGATACTGGCGGGGCCAGTAAAAGTCTCGACTCACCGTGAGATTTGTTTTCTCACGGCCACGATGTCCTCCAATAGGAGCATCGTGATACTCGAACGTGATCCGCAAACGCAGATCAGTATCATCTGGGATGACACCACGTGTCGTGTCACCAGAAACGGCTGTATCATACAGTAAATCGTTGCGAGTACTGTATCGATCTGATGCAGATCGATACGCAGACGACAATCATTTCAAAGATTCTCGAGATTGCTGTGAGAGATGTGTCAACAACTTCACAATCTCACCATCTTGGGCATACGCCCGCCTCTCATCATCATGCAACGTTGAAGATGGGACTGAGGACGTCATAACCGCAACAGTGACTGTCTCACTGTTGGGTTTCACGACTGGTTCATAGTCGGGATGACGTGAGAGTGCATCAGCGACGACATTAAGTCGTCCTGGCTGGTACTCGACCGTAAAGTTGTATTCTGCAAATAATGACAACCACCGAGCCATTCGTTGTGGAAGGTGCGGGCTGTTTACTGCCGTGCGTAATGATGCATGGTCAGTGTAAACAATGAAGGGTCTATCTCCTAATAGATAGACTCTGAACTTCGCGAGTGCATACTTCATGGCAAGGAGTTCCTTGTCATGCACTGGATAGTTCCGCTCAGCTGGTTGCAGCTGACGCGACTGATAGCAGACGACGCGTTCAACGCCTTCGAGATCGTACTGCATTAATGCGCAGCCGATTGCGAAATCGCTGGCATCACAGACCACATGAAATGGCCTGTCCTGATCAGCTATTGCTAGGACTGGGGATCGTATTAAGCTCTGCTTGATACCATCAAAGGAGCGCTGACATTCAGCGTTCCATAACCACCTCTCGTTCTTTTTCAACAAACGAGCGAGGTGTACAGTCATCTCGGCGTAATTGCGTGAATACTTATGCAAATACGCCGCTAGCCCAAGGAATTTTCGAAGACATTTGACATCAACCGGCACAGGCCAGTCAGTGATCGCCTTGATCTTTTCGGGATCAGGACGTACACCGTTTTTTTCAACAATGCACCCAAGAAGTGGTATCTCGCTTGCTGCAAATATACACTTCTTGAGGTATGCATACAATTGATGCTTTCGCATGATTGTAAGAACCTGTCGGACGTGGTACCTGTGAACCTCAACGTCAGACTTTCCATCCATAGCCCGACTATGGATGAATACGTCATCGAAATAACTCGGCACGAATTCTCGTACTGGTCTCAGCAGATGTGATACGCATCTGTTGAACGTGGCAGGGGTATCACTAAGCCCTTGTGGCATTACTAGCCATTCCCAGAGCATGCCGCTAGGCGTGCTCACTGCGGTATATGGTATGTCCCGTTCTCGCATGAGGATATGATAGAAGCCATCCATCATTGACGAAAAGATGGTACTCTTTGACATACCATCAATGATTACGTCCTTCCTTAGTATCGGCGTCTGAGCCTGTACCGTTGCAGCATTCAACTTGTTAAATGCATGCACTATCCGCCACCCTCCTGTGGCTTTTCGCACACAGAAGGTCGAAGGGCTGTGTGGGATGTTGATTCCCTCACATGGCCCGCAGCTAAACGATCGGCATAGAACTTGTCGATCGAAAGTACTTGTTCACGAGGCAGTGGCCACTGCTTCATGACACAGTACTTCGAGCCTGGTTTAAGCTCGACCTCGTGTCGAGTACCTTTATCATTCGGTAACTCGCACGAAACAGTTTCAGGGAATACATCCTTGAATTCAACCAAATCTTCATGGAGAGGTTTTGTCTTGAGCGATTGCCACGATTGGGAGTCATGTCGCTCAACTCGTGTCTTTTCATCTAGGACACTCTCGTCCATTGATGAACTACTGAGAACTCTCTCGTTCTCAGTAAACATTGTTGCTGACCTTATGCCGGCTACACACTCGTCGTCAGCGACGAGTACGCAGATCTGCTTGACTTTGCCACTACGCAAGAACCTTTTTTTATGTTCGAGCGTTGGTAATTGAGTGATCTCCGAAGTCAACTTCGGAGGCGCAATCAGATCAAGTGTATCAGCGCCTACGCTTGATCCGTTATTGACCATGACATTCAAAGTCTCTGTCATTTCCTGGGGACTTATTCCCTCAGGCCTCGAAGGACTTATTCCTTCGGCTTCCCGGGGACTTATTCCCTCTGGTTTCGGGGAACTTTTTTCCGCCGTATTTATAATATCAGGACTTATTCCCTTAACTTCCTCTAGCTGTGGTTGCACAACCACAGCGAGATCCTCTACGAAAGACTCTCCAGTCGATCCAGGATTATCGTTTCGCTTAACCTGAGCGATCGATGGTTTCACTTCTAGATGTTCCCCGCTAGGGATACATCTTTGTCCTGGTCCACTCGACTTATTCCAGTGTTGGACCTTCGGCGCAGCCTGTGTTTCCTCACAGCCGCCGGAACTTTGCTCCGAAGTGTAACCGTTTGTTACACTAAGGTTTTGTGCAGTCGTACTAACGACCGTACCACAAGTGAGGCCATCGCACTCACTCGTAGTACAACCACACGCTTTGTGGACGCTCCAAAACGTTCATCAGATGACCATCTGATGAACAAGCGGCAGGCATCGTTGCTGTTCGATGTTGCCAGTTTACCCGTGGTTCGTACCTTCTGAGCCACGGTATTCCAAGGATGACATCAAATTTTTCATCCAAATCCAATACGATAAAGTCATCGTCATACTGGGTATCTTCTAGCGTATAGTGGATCTTCACTATACGCTTCATGACGGTTACGGATGCGCCTGTCGCAAGACGTACCGTCATCCTCGTAGGAGGTGTGTCACATTCGCTGGACTTAAAGCGACCATCTTCTAGGGATTGGCGTTGCACAAAATTGTTGGACGCCCCATAATCGACTAGAGCTCGAAGGGACCACTTATTTGTCACTTCGAGTTTCAAGGTAATGAGTGAGATCTCATTACCTAGAGCAGCAACGCACAACGTTTGTGTGTTGGGAGCAACCTTCATCAAGAGGCCTACAAATTCTCTTGACGTTGCTGGACCAGTAGGGTGCTCCGCACCTACTGATCCTGTCCGTTTTTTGACGGTCCATCTCGTTGTTGCGTCTTTGCACCAACAGCGGACCCTCGTTCCTGCCTCTTTCTCATGGGTGGACGGTCACTACGCCCAGTGTTGCGAGACACTGGACGAGGAGCACTGCACTCGTAAGCGTAGTGTCCTGTCTTCTGACATCTGTTGCGTTTCTGCAACTTCTTGTAGCCTGTAGAGCGAGCCTTCTCGCTCTCTACATAACAGAGTTTGATCGGCTCTGGACCTCCGTTATCATATCGTCTCGGTTGACGATACGATGTCGAGCTGGCGCGAGCCTGTCTCAGACTGAAGTCTTCCTGTTCCGCAATGGAAATGGCTTGTTCTAGTGAATCTAGTTCAAGTCGGAACAGGTGAGTCTTGACGGGACCATCCGCAAGACCCTGCATGAACACCGAAACCAATGTGTGTTCATCAACCGGGTTGGAACTTATACAACTCGTGAGATGTCGTATATGTTGCGCGTAAGCGTGCACATCACGCTTACCTTGTCTAAGCTTCAAGAGTTCAGTTCGAGCTCTGAACTCAGCTCTAGGCGGTTCAAACGTTTGTCTGAGCCGCGACTTGAAGACTTCCAACGACCCAAACGCATATGGATTGTGCAACTTGAGCCCCAAAGCCCAAGTCATGGCACGTCCTGCCAGATTTGACTGGGCAAATTCAACTTGTGTATCCCCATCGTCGATGCGACGTGCCCTTATGGAGACGTCTAATTCGACAAACCATCTCAAGAGGGAGTCCTCTTCGACTCTCCTATACTTGGAGATGTCAATCTTCAAGGTCTTGGGTCGACGCGAGTGCATCGACCCACCAGCAGCAGCCTGCTGCTGTCTCAACCGTTCAAACTGTTGAGCACCCTTTTCTCTCAACAACTCTGCTTGTTGAGAACCTTGTTGGTGAAGCAAGGCTACTTTCTCGCGTTCAGCGTCAAGTTCATTTTGAATGAACTTGGCGATAGTAGCATGTTGGGCATCTCTATTGAGAGCCTCTAGCATAACGCTAACAGCATGGATACCTATGGTTGAACCCATCCGTTCAGCCGCATCCCATTGTACATCGCTCAAATGGAAGTAGCCGTCACGCGTAGCGTAAAAGCTTTGGTCATCTTCATCATCCAACATATTCATGTTAGATGTGAACGTGGTCCTTGGACGGACTACGAAGTGCCACCCGGTTCACGGGGCACCCTCAAGCTTATTCTGATGACAGAATAAGGCGGTGCCTCGGAACTTCACGTGCACGTGCAGAGAAAGACGGTAAGAAGAAGCGAGTACTTGGTTAAAGTAAAAAGTAGAACTGTACTTATAATAGTTAATGTCTGCAATAAATCACTGTTTATCCTCATCTAACTATGTCTAAATACAAATGTGTAAATCAGTTATCTGCTCACCACTCATTGCGTGCGTCTGTCGTGGCGCGTCTTCGTTGGTTGATATAATGGCCAATATCAACCAATTAAGAACTACTCGTAAGTGCTACAGAATATTGTCCTTATGACAACAATCTGAGAATGTAACACGTATAGTTATATTCTATTACCAATTTCTTCTAAATTGTTAGGTAACGATTCACTTCGTTACACACAGCACCTGCGCTACCTTGCAAGTAGCGTTACGAAAACCCTGTTGATGAGCATACGCTAATCAACGTGTTCATCTACGGCCTTGTGGATGGACCGGTGAAGACCTACATGTTCCGAGAGGACTTCCATACGCTAGAAAAGGCGATAGCGCATACGGAACAAGAAGAGGTCAGCCTGAGACAGTCTCAGGCTAACTCGTCAAACTATCGTCCAACGAGACGACAGGAAACGGGATGTCCCGAACCAATGGACCCCTGTTACATCGAAAGCGAGAGCTCTCGCTCTCTGAGACACAAGCGAACGACAAGATGCCATCGCTGTCAGAAGATTGGACACTACGCTCATGAGTGTAGTGTCCCGAGCACCGCAACACATCCGAAAACAGGATGTGATGACCACCGTTGGCCAAGGAATGGTCCAAGGCGTGGGTCCGACCATGTCGCTAAGCCGCGACAGCAAGTCGGACCGTCAATAAACGGACAGGGTTAGTAGGGGCGGAAAAGCCTGCTGATCCAGCAACGTCAAGAGAATTTGTAAGACTCTTGACGAAGATTGCTCCCAACACACAGTCACTGTGTGTTACTGCCCTTAGTGATGAGGAGTCTCTCATCACTTTGAAGATCGAAGTGACAAGTGGAATGCCCCTTTGCGCCCTAGTTGACGGTGGGACGTCGAACCGTTTTATTCAACGCCATTCGCTAGGGGATAGTAGGCTCAACTATGTTGAGCGAGAGTTCCCTCCAACGAGGATGACGGTGCGCCTTGCTACAGGCGCATCCGTAACAGTGAACAGACATGTAGTGGGAATCCACTACACGCTAGAAGGAAAGCAGTACGATGATGCTTCATCGTACTAGATTTGGATGACAAATTTGTTGTCATACTCGGTCTGCCATGGCTTAGAAAATACTAGCCATGGGTTAGCTGGCAGCATCGATCCGTGAAGATGCCGCCGTTTGTTCATCGGACGGCCATCTGATGAACGTCTGGAGCGTCCACAAGCGTGTGGATGTACTACGAGTGAGTGCGATGGCGTCACTAGTGGTACGGTCGATAGTACGACTGCACAAAACCTTAGTGTAACAAACGGTTACACTTCGGAGCAAGATTCCGGCACCTGTGTAGAGACACAGGCTGCGCCGAAGGTTCACCACTCTAAGAGATCGAGTGGACTGTAACATGGATGCACACTAAGATGGGTACATCCGAGAAGGGAGATTATTGTTTTCAGGATGAGCAATACGCTAAAGCGAGATCGACTATCAGCTAGTCGATCGTAGAGAAAGCCCGATGACTGAAAGAGAGTCGATCGAATTAGACGTGACCGTGATACTACCCGTAACGAAAGAAAATTTTGGCGTTCCTGAGAGCAATAGCTCCCGAGAGAGTCATGTTGAGGGTGTGTTTCCCCAACCACCTGCGGATGTGTTTTCCCAGGAAAGCGCTGAGACAGTGAATGTCTTGGTGAATGTCGGATCAAGTGTAGGCGCTTATACACTTGATCTGGTGACGCCCCCGAAGTCAGGTCTGGAGGTGGTCAAGTTGCCAACGCTAGAATGTAAAAGATTGTTCCGAGGTTTGCGTGGTGACAAGATCAAGCAGATCTGCGCACTCGTCACCGAGAATGAGTACGTCGCCAAAATTTGGTCGGCACAAGTGTTTGCTGAGAATGAACGAATTCTCAGTGGCTCAACTATGAACAACAGTGTCCTCGATGAGAAGACCCGGATTGAGCGATACACGTCTCAATCTTGGGAGTCTTTGAAGACTAATCCTTTGCATTAGGATTTGATCGAGTGCGGGGATGTTTTTCCCGAATCCGTGCCATGCGAGCTGCCCGAAGACAAAGGCAATCGACATGATATCGAACTGAAACATGGTTCGAAATTCTGTGTCATGAAGCAGTGGCCACTGCCTCGTGAACAGGTTACAGCGATCGACAAATTCTTTGCCGATCGATTAGTAACTGGTCATGTGATGAAATCAACCTCCCCACATAGCTCTCCGACCTTCTGTGTGCGAAAAGCCACAGGAGGGTGGCGGATAGTGCATGCATTTAACAAGTTGAATGCTGCAACGGTACCGGCTCAGACGCCGATACTAAGGAAGGACGTAATCATTGATGGTATGTCAAAGAGTACCATCTTTTCGTCCATGGATTTGATGGCTTCTATCATATCCTCATGCGAGAACGGGACATACCATATACCGCAGTGAGCACGCCTAGCGGCATGCTCTGGGAATGGCTAGTAATGCCACAAGGGCTTAGTGATACCCCTGCCACGTTCAACAGATGTGTATCACATCTGTTGAGACCAGTACGAGAATTCGCATCGAGTTATTTCGATGGCGTATTCATCCATAGTCGGGCTATGGATGGAAAGTCTGACGTTGAGGTTCACAGGTACCACGTCCGACAGGTTCTTACAATCATGCGAAAGCATCAATTGTATGCAAACCTCAAGAAGTGTATATTTGCAGCAAGCGAGATACCACTTCTTGGGTGCATTGTTGGAAAAAACGGTGTACGTCCTGATCCCGAAAAGATCAAGGCGATCACTGACTGGCCTGTGCCAGTCGAAGTCAAGGGATTTCGAAAGTTCCTTGACTTTGCGG